CATTAGGACATTGGCTCAGGAGTAGGAGAAACAATTTGTTTGCTTTGTGGTTAAATTATGGCAGGGACCAAAAGAAAATTTCATGCTATAGAGATAGACTGACTGGGTCAAGGATAAGATGAAGAGTTGAGGCTAAGAAATGATTGAAACTTAAGAACAGGAAAAGGGTAAAACTAGTAGTGAAAGAAGGGGTCTTGATTTTTATTTTCTTCTTGTTTCCTCACTGAAGGCAGCTACAGCACTTAAGATTTCCTCTTGCTGAATTGGTTTTCATTGCCTTTTAAGGTGGAATGTGAGGGAAAGAAAGAGATCCAATAGTCAAGACAAAAGGAAAGATTAAGTTAAAGAACAGCAACCAAAACAAAAGCAAATGTGGAGAGAGAACATTTTAGACTGGGTCTTAGAATTTGAAAGGCATGGGATAGAACAATAGTAACAGTGCCAGAGGAGATTTTTATTTGGAGTGTTGTGAAGTGGAGTCACTTTTTAGATCCATAGAGTGAGATCTTTGGAATGGACAGCAATGCTGAAGATGGCTCTGGATAAATCTAAATTTGTTCAGGTAAAAGTCACTATGTAGAAATCAGTCCCGAGTTCTTTCCATTCCTAGTGATTCTCTCTGAGCCATCATCTACTTGTGGTAATGACTGTCATGAGCCATTAGGCCTGAGTCTTTTATAATCTTTAAAATTTGAAGATTTTCACTTTGTTTGCTTCTCTACAATCCTCTTGTAACTCACAAAGTACTTTCAGTTACCTTGTCTCACTAATACATCATGGTCGCAGTTACAGGCTTGTCCAAGGTCATACGGGTTGTAAATTATAGGACTCAAGACTGGTATTTAGGGTTCTTGATTTTGTGGGCATTTGTTCCTAAAGAAGACAAAATCTTGACTAAACACTATCTGTATAATAGCTCATTAATATTCTATGCTTTATGCAGTAATTGTTCTTCATGACTCAAAGAAGAAAACGTTAAAGGAATCTAATAGAATTAAAATAGGAGTGTGAAATGTATTTAATCTCACTGTTGCTGTTATTTTTATGTAAACAGAACCTTCCTCCTGAAACCAATTATTTTCAACACAGTGACAAACTTTGTAAAAAGGCTCAATAACAAACATCAAGCTTTGTAACTGTCAGCTTTAGTACTTGTCCTGTGAAAGCAGCTTGGAGTGTGTATCAGTGGAGTAAGCATGGCTGGATTTCAATCAAACTTTATTCATGGACTGTAAAATTTTAATTTTTTTATAATTTATATATGGCACAAAATATTTTTCAGTCATTAAAAATATAAAACTACCCATAGCCCCAAGGACATAAGGAAAGAGGTAGCAGACTGGACTTTACCTGAGGTCTCAGCTTGCCACTCTGGGTTTGGCTAGGGGCGGAGGGCTGGGGCTTACTCTTGGCTGGACAGTGGTACCCAGAGGTGGTGGGTCTATGTTCTTGATTCTGTGGTTCACACAGAGGTGCCTGCTTCTTCCCAATAGCGTCTTTTTGTCTTTGATCTTTTCCTCTCACTTTACTCATGCTTTGAGACTTTGCTTCATTTCCCTATCTCCTTAGTGCAAAATCTTACAACCGATGATCATGTGGTTTCAAAAACTTACAGAATACCTTCATGTGGGCTGGAAGACTTTTGATTTGTGTTCAAACCATGCCTTGTAGTTTCCCCTTATGTGAGGGCCATTTCTGTGTGCTGTTTTGTGGAGCTCTCTCAGACTCTAGCAAGAGCTAAATAACCCACATTTGTGAGACTGCACACTGGCCATGAATAGGCACAAGACAACAAGAGACTTTGCCTTGCTGCATGGATTTGAGAGCTAAAGCTGTGTTCTTTATACCCTAAAAGTGAATGTCCCGGTGATGCTTGTATAGATTGGCAAAGTCTGGCTTTCTAGTTGGCGTTCAGTCAGCAAACAGGATCCAGAGATTGAAATCTCTGCAGCTCCTTATTCTCAATATGACAAGCCCCTTCCCAGGAGATCTCTGAAGGCTTTCCCTTCTGATGGTGTCACCTCCCCACCCCGCTACCCCCGGGCAGACTCTCTCACCACTCTGGCGCACTGGTTTTAGAAACCGGGAAGGGCAGAGGCCTATTTCAGTATGCAGAACCTCAGAAGTGTGGTTCAAGTGCGTCCTTTCAAAGAGGCCATTTCCTTGGCCTGCTTATGCTTGCAAGCAGGCGAGACATTTGAACATTAACTCTAGATCGCTCCCTTCCTGTTGTCTTTGGTCTTATTATAGCTTTCTGGTTTTACTTTTCCCCATTTGAGTAAATAGAGGTGGGTGTGGCCATGATTTGAGGTGCTGGGTTCCAGGTGGGTTGGACTTGGGCTTACCCTGTCTGTACCCTCATTGTCATAGGCCTTCCCACTGCCTGTGGCCATATTCAGACCAGGCGCAGGCCTGGCAGTAGGCGGCAACATGTCACTTTCGGGTGACTCTGGCTGGCTTCCTGAGGCTTGGGATGTTTGAATTTAAACCTAGTGTTGGTAAAATCCTGTTTCCTAGCATAAAAGTAGATGATACTAGGCTGAATTTAAATGAAATGCCAAAAACCATACTTTTATTTAGAAAATGAGTACTTTTAAATAAGTAAAGTAAAATTTTTAAACATCTAGATGTTAAACTCCAAATTGCTAAAATTAGTTAAGTCTAGAGGGTTGGTAAGTTCAGTTTTTATAGCTAGGTGTCTGATATACTGCTTAAGTCCTTAACATTCTAATGATTCATTTAAATTGCTATTTTTACAAGCATTTTCCTTAATAAAAAGACAGCTATCAAAAGAGCTGTGGGAGAACCTTGGTAAAGTGTCAGTCCCCTTAGCTGGCGAGTCAAGGGATTTGTGCTGATACATCTGCTTTCGCCTTCGGCTTTTGAGCCTTTGTATTTCTACAAATCGCTTGCTGAGTTTATTTTCCATTACTTTTATAGAAGAGATAGAGAACAGTTAAATGGGTATTTTCAGTTATGAATGTAGCTAAGTGTTGCTTAGTACAGGGGTGTGCTCCGAGAAAGGGGGTGTCAGGTGATGTCGTCCCACCCTCGCCACTGGCTTGTCCAGTGCGAGGGGAGCCAGGTGGAGCCTATGCCCCAGGGTGGAGAGGCCAGCTGGCTTCCCGACATCCTGGTCCACCTGCTGGGGCCTCGCCCAGGAGCCTGCAGGGAAGACTTGAACCTGGGTGTCTGACAGAGGTCTGAGCACTGCAGCAGGGCAAGGAGCCCAGGGCCTGCAGGGCGTCAGGCTCCCATGGCCCACCGTGGGTCCAAAGCATGAGGTGCCATTGGGCAGCCAAAGGCCCTACCTCTGCACCCCCTCCCTCTGCACCCCCTCCATCCACAGCCCCCTCCATCTGCACCCCCGCTATCCACACCCCGCCACCTGCATCCCCGTATCCTCACCCCCCCCGTCCTAACCCCCCTCTATCCTCACTCGCCTCTGTCCTTACCCCCTCCCATCTGCACCCCCCTTCCACCCGGACCCCCCTTCAACCACACCCACTTCCATCTGCATCCCTCCATCCGCACCCCCTCCATCTTCACACCCCCCCCTTCACCCCTGGACACCTACTCTCAGGCCCAAGGGAGCGGCGTCGTGGAACATACTTTCCACTGAAGAATCAAAGGGACGAGCATCTCTGCAGTGTGGCAGGCAGGGACCTGGGTGCCTTCTCCCTGTGCATCTCTCCCTGTGGGTGCAGAGGGCTGCACCCTCGGTGGGGTTCGCCAGCCGCCTGCCACTCTCCTCAAGCGCAGGAGTGAGGCCTTGCTCTAACGCTAAGGAGTGGAGAGAATCGCAGCCCAGCTCCAGCCATGCTGTCCTGTGGAAAGTGCTACTGGAGAAGGCAGCACCAGCCCTACCGCCCTGGAAGGGATGCTCTTCCTCCATCCACGGGAGGGTACTCTCACTGAGGTGTCCAGGATTAAGCCTTTTACAAGGATCAGCATTGTGAAGCCCATTTTTCGGCAGATGTACGCACTATTCTTTAATCAGCTTTATAACTGTAGGTGCTATTTTGGTTTCTCTCATCTGCTTTATTCCTGTGAAAAGTATTATTTACAAACCTCCTCCTTTTGACTTCTGATAGGAGTATCTGCTAGGGCTGCACAAATACAGGTGAATTCCAATATTTTGTCAGAAGCTGTAGTTGGTTTGGTTTCAGCACTGGTATTTTTTCCCATATAAAAATTATTTTTAAGAACAACAGTTGAGCATGTGGAATAACTTGAGCTGATGTTTAAATCCAAAAGCCTAGGTGAGCAGTTAACACTGTGGATAAAAAGGTGTTCCAAAGGCCCCTGCTACTCCACCCCTTGATGTAATGTCTTTTATTTGTGAAAGGCAAATCCCACGAGCATGTGCTACAGAACTATTCAGTCACCTGTAGGAAAACTGCTCCTTTCTCTCTTTGTGTAAAATTGTATTCTTTTATCCTACAGGAGAATTCCTCTGTTCTTTTATTCACCCTGCTAAAATTCATTTAGGTTAGCAGGTTAGAAAATCCTTGCTAAATGTCTCCCTTTCAATATATCACTATAGAATATTGTATTATTCAAAACTAAGGGACAGTTTGCCTAAGGCAACTTGATAAAAATTGCTTTATTCAAGGCAGTTGGTCAAAAAGACACCTGTGGTGCCCAGCCCTCTGAGTTTGCCAGGCCTGGAGTGTTAACCAGGACATGAGCGTCTTCCTGCCAAAATTTGTTACATCTCTGGCAAACTTGAACAGGCTGCTGACCTTACACCTCAAACCCAGAGCATTATCTTAGCTATTCTACCAGCAGTGTCATTAACTTTAGTACTAAGCCTGCCAAAAACTAAATATTTTGTATTGGTCATGGTATAACAAGCTGTCTGTGATCCCTGTGAGACCTGTTTACTGAGGCCACGTCACAGGAAGGCAGAGGGCATAGCGCAGAGGCCAGCTGTGATGGGATGAGGTGCACTCATAGCTGTCTTTTTGCTTTAACTCATCTTCTGCTCTCCTCTCCAGGTGTGTGATTCAGACACCATGCTTGACCCTGCCTCATCCGTGGAGATGGTAAAGGTTCTAGAAGAAGACCCCATGGTTGGAGGTGTTGGGGGAGACGTCCAGGTGCATATACTTCATTTTTTGGGATGAGACACTTTTAATAGTATTCACCGATTCGTTTTGTGTATACAGTCATTGCACACCAGTTCTGTGACAGGTATTGTTCCTGATGCTTGCACCACATTAGAACGTGCCTGTCCTGCCTCTGTTCCTTCATATACTAAAATGATTTATGATGTCCTCACTTAGTTCTGGAGTGCAGCCTCTATCTTCAGTGGCTGATAAGTTATACACAAATATGACATAGATGGCTAAATTCAGCTTGTTACAAGAGCAGAGGAAATGGAATCATGGTAGGGAATACATTATGTCATCTACCTCTGGGCTTAAACACTGGCCAAATTGTAGTTGGTAAAAATACAAATTGAAAAATGAAAGTAGGAAAGAGGCTGAACTCAAATTTATACTAGTGAGAAAGGAAAAGAAATAATTAAAAGTGAGTTTTCCAATATGACACATTCTTTTATTATCAATGGAGAAACCATTTGTGAACAATAAATACAAATGAAGGAAATTTGAGTCTTACGAGATGAAAGAAAAGGAGTATGTGAAGGAGTTTAAGTAAGTGATCACTGTGATTAAAGGGAGGCCTCTGAAAACTTGAGGTTAGACTTTAGCAAACAAGGAGAAGGATGTGGAAAATTAACGTTGACATGTAGCTGTTGCTGCCATCCTGCTCACTCTATCTATGGCAACAGTGAAGGCAGAGGAGCTGCATTAAAAGGAGAAAAGAAAGAGCCTGATTACAGTAAGGAAGCATGCAGACTCCGGAGGAAAACGCAGTAAAAATGAGACTGAGAAGAGACCTTAGATACGATGTCAAGCAGTAGCTTGCAATTTTGAATTATAGAGAACATTATTTCAAGGTTCAAGTTTTATGGGGTGGCCGTGACAAGTCTCTTATCACCAGCATTCAGAGGAGAATAGCAAAGAAAGCAAAGTTGGACTGGAATGGTTGGAAATCAGTCAGAAGAGCAGGGCCTGAGATGTTCTATTTAAATGATAGAGAAGAACACATGAGGGAAGAATTCATGGCCTGACAGGCACACACAACTGAAAGTAGTAGTCTCTGAGAAGACAAAATGTCACTGTGTGGAAAAGAGGAAGGGAGTCAAAATAGGGGTATACAGTAACAAATCTCACACTAATCCTTCCCTTGTTATTTGTTCTCTTTGCAGATTTTAAACAAGTATGATTCCTGGATCTCTTTCCTCAGCAGTGTGAGGTACTGGATGGCGTTTAACATAGAGAGAGCCTGTCAGTCCTATTTTGGATGTGTCCAGTGCATTAGTGGACCCCTGGGAATGTACAGAAACTCCCTACTGCATGAGTTTGTGGAAGACTGGTACAACCAGGAATTTATGGGCAACCAGTGTAGTTTTGGTGATGACAGGCACCTCACGAACCGGGTGCTGAGTATGGGCTATGCCACAAAATACACAGCTCGATCCAAGTGCCTTACTGAAACACCAATTGAATATCTCAGATGGTTGAACCAGCAGACCCGCTGGAGCAAGTCTTACTTCCGAGAGTGGCTGTACAATGCGATGTGGTTCCACAAGCACCACCTGTGGATGACATATGAGGCAGTCATCACTGGATTCTTCCCTTTCTTTCTCATTGCCACCGTCATCCAGCTCTTCTACAGGGGTAAAATTTGGAACATCCTCCTCTTCCTGTTGACTGTCCAGCTTGTAGGTCTCATCAAATCGTCTTTTGCCAGCTGCCTTAGAGGAAACGTTGTCATGGTCTTTATGTCTCTCTACTCAGTGTTGTACATGTCAAGTTTACTTCCTGCCAAGATGTTTGCAATTGCAACAATAAACAAAGCTGGGTGGGGCACGTCCGGAAGGAAAACCATTGTTGTCAACTTCATAGGACTCATCCCAGTGTCGGTTTGGTTTACAATTCTCCTGGGTGGTGTGATTTTCACCATTTACAAGGAATCTAAAAAGCCATTTTCTGAATCCAAGCAGACAGTTTTGATTGTTGGAACTCTGCTCTACGCATGCTATTGGGTCATGCTGTTGACGCTGTATGTGGTCCTCATCAACAAGTGCGGCAGGCGGAAGAAGGGGCAACAGTATGACATGGTGCTGGACGTATGACCACGCCTGCTTTGGTACTTGCAAGCACACTCACCTGATTTCCGCTAGTGGAGGTACAGTCTGTGGCAACAGGTAGTACCATCAAGAAGACATATCACGCTGCTGGAACTCCAACACAGACATTTCTGGGTTTATTTTGATTCTGCCAAAGTAAAATAGTTCATCAATAAGAAGACCCTCTGATGTAACCTGTCATGTCCATGAAAATGGAATGGATTCTTTGGTATGCACTTTGTCCCGTATTGTGCATCGCCTGACAGTGTTGGTCCCTATATACCTCACTCGCCATGCTTTCTGTGGGTTATCATGGAAGAAATTGATTCTGGAAACTCAAGGAAAGGTTCTTTCAGCCTATACAACCTAACTTATGGATTGTTTGATAGCTAATTTTTTGGATTTTCTTTTTTAATTATACCAAATGAAATGCCAAAGGAATCTTAAAGGCTGTTGGCTGTGCTATATTTTGATATAATTTTACTGTGTTTTAAAATTTTGTATGCCAATTTTTAAAACAAATTTTACATATTCTATATTTTACTTTTCTGCCAAAATACACCTATTCTTCCTTTTTTTAATGAAATAGGTTCTGAAAAAAGTCCGTACCTAAAACAATACCTGCCCAAAATGTGAAGCTTGGTTGACTGATTTTTATGATAGAATAAAATGGTTTTGTCTTTTTACCTTTTCAAATTGAATAGTTTATTTCTGTGAAAATGTTTTAAAACTTTCAATATTATAACTATATTTTCATTTCTTTTGGAAAAGGCCAATATATCTGTCACACTTTGTCAGTAAATATACATATTTTCTTGTGTACAAAAAGAACTCATTCAAAATTAAGGCCAAAAGGGTAGAAAAGTGCAATTTTTTCTTGCAGATTTTTAAAAGGGAGGCTAGTCATTGAAAGAAAACACTAGTTATCCAGCACTGGATAAAACCTGAGCACCAAGGGTGAATAATCTTTAGAAATTCTGGCAGGTTTTCCCAGGCCAAGTCAAATGGGAAGTAGAAAATTCTTCTGTATAATTTGGATAAATGCAACACAGTACTATGTATACATGTGTTTCACCTATTTCTTCTGCTTGCTAATTCCATATTACATGTTAGTATGATGTTTACGTGGGTGAATTGGACACATTCTAATAAGTATAAAGCATACAGATTCAAAATTGACAGATTGAAGTTTCTTGACCCTCCAAGGAGGTTTCTTCTAAACTGTACAGATAATGGCTTCATTTCTTCTGTTTTGGCATCCATAAAAATGTCTATGTAGTAGAAATAATATTATGGTTTAATAAATAAATCAAGAATTGGCACATACACAACTGATAAACCAGGTACTCTAAACTTGACTAATCCAGTTACTATGGAGCCTCAGTGATTCAGTTTGACCTTTTACATGGTCGATCTCACCTTGCAGCTGGTGCTGTGTAGACCTGTGTTAAAACATAAATCAGAACACACAGATAGTTGAAAAGAATACTGTGGTGAAGCAGACACATGAACATACACTTTCTGCTTTTATGCTTCCTTTTCTGCAGGCAATTACATTATTTTCTAAGAAAAAGCTGCACATTCTACCTTCTGAGAACGAAAAGGTACATTCACATCTGACACTCGTACTGATTCAAGAGCTTGTGGGAAACAAATGCACCATGCCAATAAATGAGACTAAAACTTGAGTTTGCCTTTTTAACTATTTATGTTCTAAGTTAAGCTTTTATAACATTCAAATGTCAAATTTTCTCATTCTTATAAAAATTGAATTAATTGCCTGTATTTATTTTAGCAATTATTCAATGTATTTCCAGTATAGGATGTATAGTATAATTGATTTTTTGTAAATAAAATATTTTTGATAAGATTATTGCTGTCTTTTTTTAGGGAAGGGGAACTCTTTTCCTGATTGTACTGATACGGACTTAAGAATGGGTATACTGAAAAATGTTCAAAGTGGGTCAAAAATAATGTGTCATTTTATGATACATTAGGTAGCTAGCCCCCAAATTGGTGTGGTTTTAAAATCTGTAAAAGCTAGGTAAGACACACACACCAAATCTCAATGTTATCTTTGTCTCTGATTGTCTTTTATGTGCCTTGAAAGCAGCCCGAATTTATACAAAAGCTTTTATAGTAACTTATAGTGTTTATAGTAATTAGTCAGTGTTCCCTAAGAATATGTGAAGATCTTGGAGAAGTGTCTTGCTCAAAAATATATAACTTTTGTGTAATAAAATCACCATTTCATAAAAATTAAATATGGTTATCTCTAATACTGAGGATATAACCAATTTGTATTCTGTATATGTTTTTGTATTCTCCAAGTACCATAAAATGTGTTGCTTTTATCATCCAAAAAAAAAAAAAGGATAATAAATATTGTCTTTAAAAGTGGGTTGGGACATCTAGTACCATTTCCTCGGTTGAGGAACTTTCATGGCTAATTATCCCATTATCCCATTTTATCATTTATCCTGAAGTTTATATTACTTCCCAATTCTATTTATTATTTCATTTCTAAATCTTTCATTACCAAAGTACTTTGGTACTGTTAATTATAGCCGCTGAGCACTGTTGCCAAGATAAAGAACAGGAACATTTATGGTTCTAGTCACCATAATTCCCTGATAAAGTCAGCTCGTGGTGTCCGAGGGGTTGTGATCTTCCGATGTGCAGAAATGTCTCAGGTTCTGTTGGCCCTGTGTTCTGTCAGAAGAACCCTCCTCAACTCTGCCATCCTAGCGCAAAAGCATCCACAGCCAGTATGTAAATGAAAATGTGTGGCTGTGACTCAGCAACATTTTATTTATGAACACTGAAATTGGAATTTTACATAAGTTCATACATCACAGAATATTCTTTTGATTTTTTTTTAAAGATTTAAAAAATACAAAACTATTCTTAGTCCCCAGCATTACCAAAACAGTCAATTAATCCTGCAAGCCATAGATGGACGATCCAAGCTCATTAGGGATCTGTTGACATGTTTGTTACATGCTAGGCGTAAGGTATTGTCAAGCTTATTTTACAGGTCAGCTATTTTAGTTACCACTGCCGTCTCAAGGTGTTCTGCTCTTTTTAGTTACTGGTCCATGTTTGCAGTGTATGACTGCATTCACTGTAGGGGACAGGGACAGGACAGGACAAGACACATTTCAGCTCCCTCTTTCCCCTCTTACTCCACCCTTTCTGATTACTTTTCCAGTATCAGATTCATTTATTTGTCCTATAAGCACTAGCAGTACTGTTATTGCAGTTTTGCCAGTGAGGAAGTTGAGGCTGAATGAAGTTTAGTGAATTAAGATCAAAAAGCCAGTACAGCTAGTGGTGGAATTTTATGTCCAGGCATCCTGACATCAGGCTCACCCCTTAAACCCATGCTGCTCACTGTGTGGCTCCCTGGGGAACATCAGCCGCTTGTGAGCCTTTGCAGAAATGTAGATTCATCTCCCTGCCCTCAGCACACTGAGTGGAGATCCAGGGATCTAATAGTACATCCTGGGATGAGTGTTCAGTGAGAACGTTGGCTTGTCCAGGATCTTATCATTTCTAAGGTAGCTTTCCATTCATATATTTGTATTCTCATATTGAGCTTTGCTAATTTTACTATCATTTATGGGTATTGGCAGGTACCCAGTTTTAATTGTTTGTTAAGTACCAGTTACAGATAAAAGAAGAGGTGCACCTTCTATCTATACTCAAAAGGCTTATAACTGAATAAGAATGCCAAGATGACTGCATAGAGAGGGGATGCAGATGAGAAGAACATGTGTAAATAGTGGCACAAGGATATGAACTGAAGGAACAAAGGTAGACTTTAAGATAGTGTGGAATTGGTGTTGGTTCGTTTAGGATGTGCGAGCATGGATGGGTACTAAAGACTTCTTAGTGGGAAAAATGGAGTAAAGTAGTAGAGGTGAGATTTTAATAGGTGGATTTTTAGGCAGAACTCATAATAGAGGTATGGGTTGCATTTATCCAAGAAGTGGGACAAAATGGAAGAAAGTAAACTGGAAGGTGGATTGTAGCTGAGCATAACCAGCTGGAGGAAATACCAGAAAGAGTAATTAATTTTGATAGATCATAGTACATACAGGGATTTTTGACAAAAAAATTTCCATTATTAAAGACAAAAATTTTCCATTATTAAAGGCAGTGTGTTTCCTGTTGACTTGAGTTTGAACACCCATGGAAAGTTGTTTATAATCATGACTGGGTCCGCTCATCCTCGCGATAAGGGGGTGTTGTCCTCCCAGCACATGATTACATTTATCATTCAGCTTCCTGCTAGTTACCCTCCACTGTCTGCAGTTCTTTTTATATGGGAACTCCCCGGCAGATGGACACCAGAGCCATGTGATCCCATCTTCCCATTCCCCTTACATTCACTCCTCAAACTCAGGAAGTTCTTTGTCTCTTTCCTAAACCTTTGAAAACGACTCTAATCACCTTTCTGGCCTATCTCTACTTTATCCAAATTCTCCATATTTCTGTCAAAATTATCCTTCTAAGATATAGCTCTGGCTGCAAAAGTTTAACCTCCTTTTAACTGAAAAATTATAAAAGCATCAAACATTTAAAAAAGCATTCAAAATTGGCAGTCTGTCTTGGGTGCCCTGCCAGTTGCTCATGGTGCCACCAAACTGGTTTTGCTCCCTCTAAATACATTTTACCTTCCTCCTTCATCTTTCCTTGCATTTTACTCTCAGCTTGAATTGCAGTTTCTCTCCTCCCCCATCCTTGTATCTACTTGTTCAAATTCTTCTATTTCCTACATTTAACTAGCATCTCCTTTCCCAAATACCCCAACTTAAGAAGATAGCTCCCTTCTTCTCTTATAATATTTTACTCTATCTCTGCTTTGTGGCACCGACTTACTTCTACCTCAGGCTCTAGATTTTAAAGTGCATGATGACAACTAAGTAGACAAAAAGCTTTTTGAGAATAAGGCTATGTCTTCATCATTTTTTAATCATCCGTGGTTACTAGCACAGTCAAATGAGCAATAAAACTTGGTGAATAAGCAAATGAATCCATGAAAGAAGAAGGAAGAAAGAATGCACCCAAGTCGTGAATCTTACACTGCTGCTTTTGCCACCAGAAAAACAGTACCTGGGCACTGTCTATGAAGTAAAGGCATCCATTCATCAAATAACTTTGATGACTGATTGTGTGACAACCTTGTAATTTCAACATTAGGAAATTATGTTCATCTTTATGGAGTTCTTCGGGTTTCTCTCATCCTCCTCTAGGCATTCCTCAAAACCCTTCCTTCTTTCCCGTCACCGTCTTTGTTTCCTTAATTCCTATTCTATCTTTCTGGACTCAAAAGAAGGTTATACCTTCTCAGGGAAGTAAGTTTGTGAGATAGGATCAGATTGCATCCTGTGACCTTAGTACACAGTTTTTCAGGGAATATAAACTTAATATGAACATGTGAACTGAATAAATGAGTCAGATCATGAAGCTCCCAATTTAGGTTGGGAAACAGCCAAAGAGTCAAAGTTATACATAAGTAGGGGCTGGGGATTTAGCTCAGCGGCAAAGCGCCTGCCTGGCAAGTGCAAGGTCATGAGTTCGGTTCCCGGTACCGGAGAAAAACCAAAAAAAAAAAAAAAAGTTATACATAAGTAAATCCCTAATTTTTGTATTTATAGGGAGCTCCTTCACCCCAAGATAGATATAACTTAGATAGACTTTGGCTGGAGGAAAGATAGCCATTTTAACAAATGGGCTAGGGAAACTGGATATCCACATGCTGAAGACGGAACCTAGACGTGTATCTCTCACCATGCACTACACTAAAATCAAAATGGAAAAAAGATGTAAATATTAAAATACAACAATCTGCTGGAAGACAAAATGGGTAAAACTCTTGAAGATGTAGGTGAAGACAAAGACTTTCTGAACAAAACTTCAGTTGCACAAGAAATATTATCAACAAACAACAAATGCGATTATATAAATTAAAAACTTCTGCACAGCAAAGGAAACCACCGATAAAATAAAGAACACATACAACAGAGTGGGAAAAAGATTTGCCAGCTACTCCTCAAAGGACCAATATCAAAATAATTAGAGCCCCCCAAATTCAATCCAGTAAAAAATGGGCATCTGAAATGAATCTATTTACAGATGAATAGATTCACAGATGAAGTACAAATAGCCAATAAATATATGAAAAAATGTTCAACATCACTGTGCATTAGAGAAATGCAAATTAAAAGAACACTGAGATTCTACCTTATTCCAGAAAGGATGGCTATCACCATGAAATCAAGTAGAATGAAGATATTCCATGTACAGGAACCTAATACCCTACATGAGTATGAACATGATATGCCATAAACATGAGATAAGAATGATATCAACAAGAATGAAATGGGGGTTGGGGATTTAGCAGAGGAGAGAAGGGGAAGGAGAAGGGGAATTAAAACAAGGATCAGACTGTAGTATGTAAATGTACTCACTCTCCAGGATGATTATAAACTGCATGTACTGCAAACACATCAAGTAAAAAGTAAAATATAAAAAAGAAAGAAATTAAATGATAATAAATGCTGGAGGAGCTACCAAGGAAAAGGAACTCTTCCGCATTGTTTGTGGGAATGTAAACTAATACAACCACAATGTAAATCAGTAAGGAGAGTTCTTGAAAAACGGAAAATATTCCATTTAACCCATCCATTCCCTTTTAAGTGTCCAAAAGAGTTAGACATCATGTTACAAAGATAATGGACACACAATTTCATAACAGCACAATTCATAACAGATAAATCTTGGAAGTAGCCTATACGTCCGTCAACAGATGAATGGATAAAAAAGTGGTGTTTCTACACAGTGCATTACTACTCTGCTATAAAGAAGGATAAATTTGAGTTGTTT